TCATGTGACGAGTGTTGTCCGTATTATAGACTTCACTTAATATAATATCTATTGGTTTATGGGAAAGTTTCCCGAGCTGGGAAATAGGAGACCAGGAGGTGAAATCTTGTCTCTACTGAGGGTGCTTTATATTTCCATTACGTTCACCACCCTTATTACCAAACAAGGTCGTGATCCTAACCCTGGAAGGCAGGTAAATATGAGCTGCTGCTTCTCTGCCGTCCCCCTGTCCCCCATTGCTCCCACTTTTACATATATGTTAACAGCAAAATTACATAAGGTCATTCTGATATTTGGGAATATAGAACCCAGTTCTCTAATGTGGTAGATCTAAACCTTACCCACTTAATCCACTTTTATATGCTTTGGTTATCTCCTCAAAATCCATTACAGTGGGAATAGAATCCAGGATTCCTCATGTCCGGTTTTCTACAGCTGTCTAGCAAAGAGTGGTGTAATCCAATGGGAAATTGCCAAGTCTCTTCTCTTCCACCCCCCTCCCCAATCTGGTCCACAGATAGGCTAGCTCAAGTCTTAAGGGTCTGAGTTGGGATTCTACAGGTCCAGGTTTCAAACCCTTGCTGATGATCCATGTTGGGGGAGGGCAGGGGGAAGCTGTTGTGAATGTATGTGATACTTGAGGGTTGCATGTTTCATTGTTTCTGTAGGCCAAGCTCATTGTGCACACCAGGGATGTAAGTTACATACCTTCATGTGCCATCCCCACTCTGCTCATGCAGGCTGAGTTCTATGTATTGTTTAACTCTAAGTGCAAATGGCTTTTGAGGGAAAAAAGTATGCAGTGAGAATCTGTGGAATGTATGGATAGATTAGAGCCTATAGCCATTTTACAATGTACTGCCACAGAACTTAAATTCAATTGTCATTTGAGCTGCTTGTCTTTTTCTCAGTTTACATATATGTAATGTATGTTTAATCTGTTAGTTATTGAACCCAGGATCAAACATAATTCCTTCAAATGTTTGGGCCCATGGTACGATAAACCATAAAATTCAAAAACATAACACAATACACCTACATATGACATAAATATAAGTTGAGGTACTTAATTTAAATTCACCAAATAGCCATAAGAAGGAGTATTGAATAACCCAAATATCTAAAGCAGGAGTATTTTCAATTCATTTTGCACTCACCCCATCTCATGCCAGGGGTTGTGCATCTCCCCCCCACGCTCCTCCCATGCCAGAGGTTGTGTCTGTCTCCAAAGTAAATTTAGTCTTCTACTGGATTGGAAGGGATGGGCAGATGGCTGGTGCCCTCCCCCACATGGAGTAGGCTTTGGGGAAGCAAAGTGCTAAGAGGGAGGAAGGATTAAAACCTCTCATTCTCCTCTCCCTCGGGCTCCCCCTGCTATTTCTTTTCTTTCTGTCTAGGAGATAAATCTTAAGGAATATCAACATTTTAAACTCCATTGGGATATGGGCAGAGCTGAGATGGGGGTTGGAGATAGTGTTAGGATGGAAGGTCAGTTACTGAGTTGGGTTAAAGCAGATAAGTGAACTAAGCAGATGCAAGGGGGCTCTGTGTGTCCTTCATTTCCACTTTCCTGTTTGCTGATTCTCTCTTT